ACAAGAGATTATTTAAGGCAAGTGTAACATTTGGTTTGTGTGCAGGTGTGAAGGAACTATTACCAACTGAGGTAATTGACAGACCTTGACCATTTCCAAGCATAACTTGATATGAGCCAGAGGTAGGAATGCTTTCCAAAAAATGATTAGCTGAGTTAGTGACATGATGAGTTTCTCCTGAGTCTGCATACCACTGATTGTTGCCAGCTAAAGCTTGAATATCAGTGCCTGCAAGAAAAGCCTGTGGTTGTTTGCTACCAGATGCAGAGTTAGAAGGTGTGGCAATGAAGCCTTGCGCAGGACCACGCCATTGAGTGGGAGGCATCCACTGATAAGGCACTTGTACTGAGGGATTTCCTTTAAAATAGGGCACAGCAAAATTCGCCATTGGTATTGGAGCTACAGCTAGAGCACGCCATTGTTGAGATCCAGATCCAGCAACTGAAAGCCTGAAGTAGCAGACCTTTGCATCGTGTCCAGTTTTAGCACAGATCTGACATTGCACCTTGGATCTACCACTGTTACGACCACCACCACGTGCAAACCGGCCACTGCGACCACCGCGATTGCCTTGGAATGGATTTTGCATCGTCGCCACACTATTTTGCGCCGTCTCATCTGAAATGGTGGACGATTGCGCTTCTGATGATGACTGCGATACAGATACTTGCGTTAGATTAACCGTTAGAGCCTCGTGTGTGGCTACACGTGTAGATCGTTCTAAACGAGCTTCATGAGAGAGAAGCATCGTCTCTGCAACTACAATTTCACAGGGCTGATCTCGATACTGAATAATGGATGTTAGGGCTTGGTATTCTTGAGGTAATCTATCCACAATAGTCTCAAGGTGTAACACCCCAATCTAACCTGACGAATAATTAAGGAAAACAGAATCAGAGTGCAACAAATTTTGTAAACATGACGGTCGTAAGGGCCTGTCACGACCGTGACGGTCATGACGATCGTAAGGAAGTTGTGACGACCGTCACATCAGCAAATTCTGGGCGTTACAATTTCAACTCACAGAAACATACATTTCACAACTCAATTAGACATCATGCATTTAGTATTGATACATAGCACAGAAGCTTGGATGAACATACAACCATAACTTGATTTACATTTTGATTACAAGGCATCTTATTAATTTGCAGCGGAATATAAAACATTTCCAACATTTAGCATGATTAAAGCCAGACCATGAAACTTACAACAAAACTTCATTAAAATTCAGCAAGTAATTATCTTGCATCAACTCAACATAAACAACGAGTTTCAACCATAAAAATCAGCACTACTAATTCATCGGTATAATGCATCTAACCAACATTTGGCACTTAACAGCAGCCATCAATTTAATGAAAAATACTTGATAAAATTCAGCAACAAGGAAATTAAATAAAAGCAATAACATCAATCGTTCATCCCCCCAAAAGTGCTACGTATCAGAGCGACCAACAACCTTAAACGGAAAGCTACACTTATTCTGGATTACCTGCAAATTACCACCAGCGGAGGTAACATACAACGTAAAGGGTGAGATATCAACAATATAACATAAGACATGATAAAAGTCATGTTAGAATATCATCACAGCATTATAATTCCAGCAGTTCGCATAAATATTAGTAATAATTAAACTGCAACCATCCTTTATTCATAACCACATCAATTATCATCATATCTCAGCAACTCATCAAAACAACTCAACAACGCAACTCAACAATGCGACTCAACAATGCAACTCAACTGTGCATATGCATGTGGTACCATTTTGGGAGACAACACTCCACAATAATTCGGGAGACAACTCTCCACAATAATTCGGGAGACAACTTTTCACAATAATTCGGGAGACAACTCTCTACAATCATTTTATTTTGTCATTAAAGACACAACCGTCGCCAATCCAGGCCAAATGATATGCTATGAGATGCAACTATTATGGGCTATAACACAACAACAACAATTGTGCAATAACCGTGCAACAAGGCATCACGCCTACAACCAATTATCCATAACAGAAACATCACATTTCACATCCACTTCAATCTGTTCATATCAGAGAACTACCAACATTATCGTTCCTACGAATAAGACTCTAACACATTTTCGCAGAGAACAATTAAAAATAACCTCGTCTCTACAATTGAGAACTCAACATCATTTTCATATATCTTCATACGGGCAATATAACTACAACTTACCCACATAATCCAAGGAGAATATTATAATAACATTTTCTCAACAGTGACATAACAACTTCATATGCATCAAGTATTCATCATTTCAATCTGTTCATGTAGGGGAACAATAACAACATACTTTCGACAATTAAGAATTCAACACATTATCGTAAGAACAACATTACAACTTTTACTCACTAAATTAATTATAGTTCCTGAAAAGGTTCGCTAACTACGAGGCAACTAATCTTGCCTCATTAGGGGCAACCATACAGCATCGTACAACACTGACAATATAACACATTCATTCCTACACAGAAAAACCTGTCTCTAACATTTATCGAGTCACGAAAACTATATCTATGATTCGATTCCCTACCTGAAGTCGATCAAGTAAGAGCCTAATAACAACTTTTTTCTCAACAAAGGGAAAATTAGCGCGTGTCGACGCCGATTCCCAACATTACTATATAAACTAAGGACATAAGCACTGATGCAGGCGTAGACAAATATTAACCCCTAATATTTCTCAACCTACGGGAACATTTACCCTTAATATTCTCTTAATATTTCTCAACCTACGGGAACATTTACCCTTAATATTCCCTTAATATTTCTCAACCTACGGGAACATTACTACGAGAACGTTACTACGGTAACATCACTACGGGAACATTAATCCTTAATATTTCTTCAACTTACGGGAACATTACTCTTTAATATTTATCGACCTACAGGAACGTTAATCCTATGATTCCATACCGTTCATGAAATCCATCATACCCAGAGTTATAGAATTGAACCCCACCCTTACCTTTGAATTGAGGACAACTCTAAACTTCCAGTTTGCTCTCCCGGTGACTCTTCTGCAACAACCTTCAATTCTCTCCGGCGGTTAATTCTTCTGTTTTTCCTTTCTCCACAGCTACGTCCTTTTTCCTCTTTTCTCAGCCTTTTTCCTCCAATTTGATTTTCTGAGCAATTTATCGTTCTTTTGTTCTTTCTTCCACAACTTCCCTAATAACTTCCTAATTCCCATTATTCCATCTAATAATAATAATAATAATAAAAAATAATAATATAATATTACTACTAGTTATTAAATTATCATCATTATTAATTATATTATATTATTATCAAACTCAATAATTTATTAAATGGTTTCCTATACTTTAAGGACACCCACCAACGCTCTCAGACACACTCCCACATAAAGGCACACCAACAATTCATAAATAATTTAATTAAAATGAGCGGGCGTTACACAAGGTGATCACGATGCGTGACTGGATTGCCAATGGATTCAAGAATATCCACAATTTGTTGAATTCACCCTAGGTACTGAGTGATAGTTCTGTCACCTTTCTCCATGGTACGCAACTCAAACCTTAATTATCGTGACTTCGCATACACCTGAGTTCTCTGAAATTGATCAATTACAGTCCACACTTCATGCGCATGAACACACCTCACAACACGAGGGAGAACAACATCAGAAAGAGTGGTGAGAAGCCAAGTGAAAAGGAGAGAATCCTCTTGCTGCCATTGCATATATGCAGGATTTTCTAGATCTGAAGCACGATCGTTGGTAGAAAGGTATCGAGGAGGAATATCAGGATTTGCAAGGTGACGGTGAAGTTTATGAATACGAATGATACCTTCGACTTGTTGCTTCCATGAGAGGAAGTTGTTGTTATCAAGCTTGATGGTGATGTGTTGCCCAAATGTTTTGAACGCATTCTTCAGGTTTGAAGCTGCTGCGTTGGATATTGAAGAAGACGGTGTGTTACTTCCCGGAGTTGGAGGATCCGTGAAGAATAGTGGAAGATCAGAAGCGGAAGCCACGACTGTGATGAATCACAAGCTCATGATACCATAATAGAGTTTTGTAAGAGGAACATATTTTAGAGAGAATTGTATTTTGTATTCATTGAAATCAACTATTACTGATACACTGCAATGCTTTATATACTGAAAGCAAAGCATAACAGAATGGTAGTTTCAGCATAACTAACTTTATCAGTTAGTTATGACTTACAAAAAGAATGCACAACTAACTCTAGTCTATACTCTAATATTTCCAATTTCTTTGGGAAGTTGAATTCATACCCAAAGAAAAAGAAAAAGGGATAAGAAATTTCTTTGGGAAGTTGAATTCATACCCTAAGAAAAAGGGATAAGAAAAATAAATGTCACATCTAAATGATACTCACTCTTCCCCTTCCACGTCGTCTCTAGTGGATCTCTTACAAATATACATTCATTTAAAGCCAAAAACAACATATTGTTACTAATACGCGCATTTATTACCGCACCTCTTAGGAATTTTTTTCTTATTTTTACATAGAAAACACATGTTTAGATCAAAAGGAACTATAGTTATTTTAGATCTATACGTAAGTTTGAAGCTTTTGGGCAGTATATTAAACAAATTTGCTTTTTGATTAGATTGTTGCTGAAAATGCACCTCTTAATTTTGGTGCCATATGCATATCCAATGGGTCAGTTCTCCCCAACTCACCACCACCCAATGATTAACTCTGCAGCAGCTTCCCAACCAATCACTAAATACAATTAACTACCACGCTGCTCTAAAATCATAAGCTATTTTTATAATAAAAAATCATAAGCTTATTAGTAGCAATATAATCTAAAAAAATGACCTCTACAAAATAAAACGCTACCAACAAGTTACTTATGTTATTTATAGACACATCCGCTAATGTAAGTACAGCATAGATTTGAAGAAGGCCAAATGGAGAACAGTTAAGCAATATCTACACATCTGGTTTTGCAGAATCAAGCTGATGCAACTTAATCGTCAGCAAAATATCTCTCTTCTGCATCAACATTGGCTTCCCTCTGCCAATGATCGTCAAGGGTTTCATCATTATCTATTTTAGAGTAATCTACATGTTCATGATCTTCTCCTACTAGAAACTTCTGTTGCATAATGTAAGTGAATTGATTCATCCGGTCCTCCAGCTCTTCGGAAGATAAGGTTGGATCCTGCCTCGCTCTAGCTGGAACAGACGCGGCATTATCAGTTACATTGGGCTGAGGCAAGCGTCTCTGCTAGTAGCGGGGAAAAAAACAAGAGATGATCAGTCCACAAAACATATGGTTACCATTATACTCGACATACCATCTTACATGTCATTGTTTACTCCAAGATACTAGATTAAAATACACAACTAAGTAGATGATATAAAATGTAAAAAGTTCATGAAGTATATTCTAAATGGTCATTTACAGTTGAAAATATGTAACAGATTTGAATAACACAGTAGTGAAATAGGATAAAGTAAAGTTAGATTATTATTCACCAAACAAGGACAATTCTATTCTATTATTTACAACTGCTTGTAGAGAGGAAAGAAGAGCATTCTCCTTCCATTGGTTTTCTTTGCTTCCCAAACTAAATCTGAATCTCCCTCCCTTCAAATTTTTCTACTAATATAACTTGCTATGTCCTATCAATTGTCGTTCCTTTTGCATTCCACCTTTGCAATTAAGAAATCCCTAAACGTCAGAATTCCTACTTTTGATCTTCCAATAATGCTTCGCCCCCCCTGGGTTGGACAGTCTTTCTGTTCCACATTCACTAGTACGTCTTCTTCCAGAGTAGTAACTAGTGTGCTCTCTTTTATGGACAACCGTGGTCTCACGGTGCATCAGCCTCAGCTCCCAAGGGCTTGCCACATTGGAAGTGCCTCCCTTCTTGTCATTTGACATACTCTTGATATAGAAGGTGGTACTTCTCTGTTTCACGGTGGGTGCAACTGCGAGCTGCTGCAGCTAGGTTTTGCATGACAGACTATCACCTCCTTGTGCATCTGTCTTTAGTAGTAGGGTGGGCCAGAACCACTTCATGCAGGGTCCAAGGATGTTCAGCGTTATGTTGGGCAGGGGAAGTCCACAGAACTGATCCACTGGGTCCCATGCAGGCACTACTCTCTACCTGAATATGGCTTGAAACCAAGTACCCGTCCATAATGCATGAAATTGAGATTAGGATATTCTTAGAGAAGCCATGTACTCTATTCTGTAGCTCTTCCTCTAGAGCTTTTCTAATTCCTCAACTATCTTCATTTCGTTGAGATCACAGGTCAGAACCCTGCTCTTCACATTCTGTCTTACACCTCCCAAGAAGTACCACACAACTTGTTCCTCGGTAACCTTCGATACATATCACTTGGGCATCTTATTCCAAACCGCTGGATCAAGGCTGACATGTGTATCTCTACAATAAATCTACCATACTTTTCTCTAAAATAAATTCAGCAGATTCAGCACACAGCTATAACATCCATGCTGATAAAAGCGAACTGGAGGGATCGGTTTACAGAATCTCAGAATTTTCAGCCCTAGTTATTCACCCTAAGAGATCCCAAATATGTATGTTTGCCGGGGGAGTTCAAAACTCTAAATCTATGCACAAATTTAGGGGGAGTATTCTTTTCCTTCAGTCAAATTAAAAAGACAACAGTTTGTCATCAATCATCATCAAAAAGAGAGATTGTTGAAACATAATCCAAGTGTTTTAAAGATGACAACCTCTTTTAATAAATGCATTTCCTCTTACATATTTATTTGTCTCAAGTACTAACACTTTAAAACAGGATCATCCAAAAAGATCAATTCAATACTCACCACCAATCCGAGGACTCAGTCTAAGGACTTAAATCCCTACTTGTTCACCAAGTCATAAGATACCATTATTATAACGGTTGATGTGACATAAAGCTGTTGGAATAAACTTGGCGTGCAAGCCTCATCTAGCTAACCAGCTTACATCCTCAAGACGTGAGGACTTCAAACCACTTCTTCTCACATGTATGGCACGCTCGTAATTATCATGTTGTTTCATGACTCATTTCATATGAGGACTCAAAGACAAGACATGAATTTCTATTAATAAGAGCACTTTATTCATTTACAATGTGTGGCTTTTCATTAGTATTGTCCAAAAAGTACATGTGTGTTCCCCCGGCAAGGACAGAGAGACTCAGATGCCCTAGTAGGTATATTACACGTTTAGGGGTGAGGGCTAGCTCACGGCAGCGAGTAGCCCAGTATGGTTGTTTTTTGAGGTTGTTTAAGGGACCAGTTCACATGAGGTAACAGGCTCTGTTGGCGGTCGGCGCTACTGGGTTGCAGATGGGCCGTTAGATTTACGGTGTTGGGCTAGCTCACGGCGGCGAGTAGCCCAGTATGGTGGTTTTTAAGGCTGTTTAAGGGAACAACTCACATGAGGTAAGAGACCCTGTTGGTGGCCGACGCTACTGGGTTGCAAGCGGGCGGTGAGTTTTACGGTGTTGGGGCTACTAGGAGCGTGGAGTTCTACGAGTACTAGTAAGTGTGTATGACTTGAGGATCTCCTTGATCCCTTCGAGGGGTAAGGTATTTATAGAGATTCCCGAGGAATAGGGTTTTTGGCCCCGTGAATGTGGTCTTAACCATTTCTCCTTTAATAGGGAGGTTATTGACCATCTATATTACTGAAGTCAACAAGGACTTTCTCTCATTTGACTCCTACGTTGGGTGGACCGTATGGGCGGCTCCTTGGAATTCCGCCAAGATGGCCCAATTGTCAGGCGAGGGCGGACTTTACCAAATATGACACTAAACTTTACATGTGAAACAATTATAAAACTCTACCAAGCATCAAAGCAATACACTTTACATGTGAAACAATTATAAAACTGTATCAAGCATCAAAGCAATGTACTTCTCGTTTCAAAGTCATCACAAATACATATCATCAAAGATCTCTCATCAAAACCTCTCAATACCATATGGTGAATGCAGAGATTGTTCTTCACAACATAAAACTCTCAAAATTGTATATCCTCAAGTGATATAAAACTTGTTAATTATCTTGTAAGCTTACTGAAGCTAGATTAATCAGTATTGTAAGCCTGATGAAGCTAGGAGACCACATAGTTGAAAAAGGAGGCATACTTAGAAGAAAAGCTCCTTCAAGCATAGGTAAAGAATCTCCCAAACTGTGCGAAGGTAACCTTCGCAATATATAACCCATGCATCTTATTCCAAACCTCTGGATCAAGGCTGAGATGTGTATCTCCATAATAATATGCCGTACTTTTCTCTCAACAAATAAAAATCAGCAGATTCAGCACACATCTATAACATCCATGCTGATAAAAGCTAACTGCTTCTCAGAGGGATCGTTTACTGAATCTCTGAATTTCCAGAACTAGTTATTCACCTTGAGAGATCCCTGCCATCAAAATGGGTAATTCAACCTTCATTACCCATGTTTGTGATTTTTCAGTTATACTCAGAGCCACCATCCTCTAAAGCATCCCTCACCTTTTTGATTGAATGTGGCGCCAGTGCCACTGTTCCCAGAAGGCTGTTCATTGGTTCCAGGCTCAATTCATCCTCAGGAACAATACCTTGCTACTGCATCTATTAGCCTAGTTGTTTAATCCAAGGTTCTCAAACTCAAGGGTCTACATGGAATCTCTGTGAACTCGACTAGCTAAGCGTTTACATAATAAAAAAAATCATGTTTAAAAATTTATTAAAACAACTTAATACTATATGCATTAGTAAATACTAACAAAATTCTACCTTTAACATCCAGACAAAAATACACGAACATTGAACAACAGCTCAAAACTGATAATGAATTCACAAATCATAAGATAGGTTTACAACTAAACACACAAAAAAGAAAATAACAAGTTCAAACTCGACAAGTAGATTGATGGATATGGATCACAAGGTTCAAATTTAGTTTATTAAAGAGTGAAGGATAGCACAACTAAGTTCCCCTAGTTGGTGTTTGCTTCAACAAGGTTTCAGCTAATCATAGTTGTGTTCATTCACCTCATTGGTTTGTCGGGCCCATTGCAAGCTTGCAACAAGGAGTCTTAAATGCGAGCCTAATACTTTATGCACCAAGGGCATACCCACAGCCCACAAGGTTCAGATTTACTAAAGACTGAAGGATGTTGGAACTAAGTTCCCATTGTTAGAGCTGGATTTAGCTTGGTGGAGATAGGTTTTAATCATGGTTGGGTTCTATCAACACATGGGCCAGTTGGGTCCAATCCATCACAAACTTGTAACAAGGAGTCTTAACAATTGCGAGCCTAATATTTTATGCACCAAGGAATCTTATCAGTCAATTGTTGTATTTTGGGTTTTCTTGGAAAGAATTGAACCACCTAAGGGAAATAATTATTATGTTGTAGTCTTGTAGACTCGTTCAATTGACATCAAACTCCCAATAAAAAAATTTCACAATTCAGGCTTTGTTACAAACAAGCAGAGATTAAGGAACAAAAGACACAATTGTAATGTTGATAACTACAACCATGAACTGAGACATGAAATAAAAGAATTTTATACCTCCACAGTCTCTTTTTCTTCAACATCTTCTTCCTCTTCCTCTTCCTCTTCTTCCTCCTCTTCTTCTTTTTCCTCTTCTTGAAACCCTTCATTACCAATCCAATCCCTCTGAGGCACACCAATCCTCTGCTGTTCCCCTCTAATCTTCGCAACAATAGCAGCTTCCTCGCACCTTCTCAAAAGCGTATCAGACCATCTCTCACCAGGCCTAGCCATAGCTCTTCCAACTCGATCCTGAAACTTGCCAACATACTCATGATGAAGATAAGGCTCCCTATCCCTCATAGCTTCTTCGGAGAAATACTGACCTCCGATCATCAATCTGTCCAAATAAGCCCGCCGCCTGTTCTTCGCCCTAACCGACCTCTTCCGCAGTTCCTCCGTCGTTGGACTCAACAAACTCCGTAACCGCGTCACGTGCCAGTTGATCTCGTAATCGTGTTTCATTGAGTCGAACTCGGTTAACTCGTTGCAGGTGAGGTTGGAACCGTAGCGTTCTAGGAATAGGGCGGTGTCTCGAGAGAGAAGGTCGAGGAAGATGGATTTGCGTTGGGATGGGAGAGTGGCGGTGGGTTGTTGAGCGCGTGGGAACCAGAGGTTTTCGAAAGATGATAGTCTCTCTGAGATTTTCTCCTTTGCTTCTTCACTCACCTCATTGTTCTTCTTCGTTACCTCCATTTTTTCTTCACTGTACTTTCACCAAGAAATTTGTTGGTATTTTTTAAGTAGAATTTTGTTGGTTTATGTACTTCTTTTCTTCTGGTTACTCATAGCACCTCATATACTACTCACGCATTAAATATATTTTGGATCATGTTTTTTTATTTTTAATCTTTTTATAAAAAAATTATTTCTAATGAATGGATAATAATGAATTGAATAATTTATTAATTATTTTTTAAAAAAAAATTATTGATTAAATTGATATTTTTAATTAAGTTTTTTTTAAAATTTATTAAAATTTTTAAAACAAATTTATGGGCTCAAAGCCCATTAAAATTTAATATGTCACGGGTCTTTAAGATGTCACTGGATAATGGAAATTTTTTAATGTATCATTTATGTTTCTTAGCCACCACACGAAAATATTTAAATGTCTTTAAATTTCGGAGATGCATTTCTGGACACTTTCAAGTATCAGTTAACCTTAAAATATTTCATATGTTCAAACTTATTTTGTAGATGAATCTCTGAAATATTTTGGAGATTAAATTACGCCAGAACCTTTCTCCTTCCTTATTTCTCAAAACATCTTCAAACTCTCTTAATTTTTTTCTCTCACCACCAAGTCCAAAATCAAACAACAAAGATCAAGAAAATTTCAATCAACATCAGAAACATCATCCAACACTTAAGCAAAGTTGAAATTTTTAAGTTTTTTGATGTTTTGATAAGTTTTTGAGTTTTTGTGAAATGAGTAGAAATTGACAATTAAGGTTAGAAATGAGTAGAAATTGCATGTATGATAGTTTAGACATAGTGTAAATATGTTTGTTGGCTGAAAAGGATTATCAAAGCATTATTTTTTTGTGATTGCATGTGTACATTGGCGTCATTGACGCAATTTTAGTTGCAGAAAATTTCAGAGATGTATCTCCGAAATTTTTCAATGTTTTAACTTCTCAACAATCGGAGATGCATCTTCAGAATTTTCTCAGTTATTTTTTTTCTTGCTTGTGGTGTTGTTTGCTTGCATTAATTGTCTACTTTACGCTAACTTACAAGCATAATGACTGATAGACACAATATATTGAGGCACGAGAGGGTTGTAGAGCACAAATCAGTGGGGCGAGAGAAGAGACAGTAGGTTTTGGGGGCTCTTGTTTCCTCTGACCATGCAGAGTCATCTACTTCTGGGGCTCTTGATTCTCCTCATGCTTCTACATCTTCTTCTTCCAGTAAGAGACAGATTTCACATGTGACACATCATTCCCTTCATCCTTCCGCAAGTGCCAAGTTTCACCTATTGAGGCGTCTGAGGTACCCGAGTCACTGGTGGTATCGGAGGCACCACTTTCACCTCTTACTACTGATACTTTAGGTGTTTCTGAGCCAATGCCACCTCTTATTGCTGATGTTGGTGAGCCAGTGCCACCTCTAGATAGTGAGGTTGTTGCAAAGGCTGAGCTAGAGGCATTTGAAGGAGGCCCCGTAGATTTGTCACTAGTGCCTCTGTACCCAGACCATAGTGTCATACATATTTGGGACAGAGATTTAGTTGGATTAATTCTTTTTTATTTAGGTTTATTTTTAGTTGACAAGTTTTTTACACTACTTTTTATTTTTTTTCAGGAACATGATCCGCTGAAGTTTATTAACCATGGGCGGAAGATTATTGGCTTACCTCAGCCGAATGAGGATTGGTTTCAAGAAGTTTTTCCTTATTTGGCCTGAAGGACTTGTGCATGACCGATTATACTACGATCAACCACGAGATGCTTAATGCATTCGTGGAGAGATGACACTTGGAGACCTCGTCATTTCATTTCCCGCTTGGTGAGATGTTTATCACACTTGATGATGTCTTGTGTTTGCTACATCATCCAATAAGGGAGAGACTTCTAGATCATGGAAGGATTACCAAAGACGAGGCACTCGAGATGATGATATACTATATGGGGCTTACCCAACAAAGAGGAAGGAAGAGTTTGATAGAACCAGGGGTGATCATGCTAGGTTTGAATACCTAAAAAAGGTATATACAATTGAGATCCTAATAGCACAATAGACTATAGGTGATGATGAGCAGGTGGTGCACCACATATCGTATGCTATGAGAGCATACCGGCTATATTTGGCTGGCACTGTAATTTTTATGGACAAGAGTGTCAATTATACAGATATCGTCTACCTACAGTATCTCGAGGATTTTGAGTGAATCCATGTGTACAACTGAGGGGACGCTTGTTTGGCCTACATGTACTCGAAATTATCAGAGGGTTGTATGTGGAAGACGAAGCAGGTCACAGGCATCATCACACTACTGACGGTAATATTTATTGGTATTTTAATGTTTCAGTGTCATTTTCATTTCATCTTTGCAAAGTCATTACCAATGATTCATGTGTTCCAAACTTTTCATTTTAGGTTTGGATCCTCCAGAACTTATCGCGCATCTCCGGTTGAGCGAGTGTACCAACTTACTCTGAGGATATGCCTCGTGCTATTGCTTTTTCCCCGCTCAGAGAAAACTAGGAGACTGAGCCTTTTAGAGTGTATCTTGTCTGTTTGGTTGTCGAGGACATGCACCTAAACAATTGTGTCGATCACCGTTAGAAGCAACCATCTGACGAGATAGTGTTATACTCTGAATGGTTAGCTTGAGGATCCCATCTGACTGCTCTTCATCTGCCCGAGCGCGTCATACGGCAGTTCGACTACATTCAGACCATTCCTAGACACCCTGTATTTTCCGCTTCTTCTACTTTGACACATAGACATATGGATGACATGTTTGATGATATGAGAGTCATCTAGTAATGGAGGAGGCACAAAGTACAATAGCTGTGAGCGATTGGAGCTACGTCAACAGGTATAATAGATGGTTCTTTAGGGTGTCACATTCATACATGGTGCATGTTGCTCCAGGAGATCCGCCAAGGCCAGCTCATCAGGGGGTACTAGAGGAGGATCATACATAATTAGATCGTGCTAAATATGCCTTGCCTAGATGTTGTCCTATAATGGAGATTGCGCAGACAGAAATTGATAGGGGTATCTTCCCTAATGGATCTGATGTGAGACATGCCATAGATGCCATCATGACGGAGGTACGAGGGACATTGATGTATCGAAAATAGTTTGAAGGGAGAATGAGATTAATGGCTGAGGAGGCAGAGAAGTCAGAGGAGGCAGATGAGATATATCCATTGAGTAATATTTTGAATACATTACTGGATGTTTCTATATATCTGGGTAGTGTAGTTGGAACTCTTAGATTTAAATTTCACATCGATATCATAACTCACAATTTGTCCAAATATTATATTTTTGGAGATCTTAAATATGTTGAAGTGACTTGCCCATAAATTATAGTTTAAATTTTTTATTAATTAAATTAAATAATATCCAAATAATTAATTTTAGATAATCAATTTATTATGTAAATTAATTAATTATGTAAAAAATATTAATTAATTAATTATCCTAATCATCATTGTCACCTCATTAAAAATAATTTTTTTATCATACTAATTATTACTACGTCTGTAAAATTAGAGGGGAACCAACAAATCCCAACTCATGTAAAATTTAGGGACCAAAAAATTGGATTTTAAAGTAGCATGATTAAAAGTTTAAAAAACATCAAAATATGGAGACTAAAAATGCATTTAAACCTTTTAAAAATAACATTTAATTCCAAATTTTAAAACAGAATTATCTATTGAGATAGGAAATAACCCTCAAAGCAAGATAATAAAAACTCTTGAGATAAGAATCCAAACACGGCCTAAGAGATCACATTTATATTGGAACCAAGACAACACAATTTTCAAACTAATTTGGATTCCAAAGTGTGTATTTAATCCATATATTGGAATCTGAACGATGTCATTTAAGTAAACTCGTGTCTTTCCTCCACCTTCACATTTCCATTTTTACAAAAGAGCAAAAATAGAGAATATAAAGAGATGTTACTTAGAAGCGATTATAAAGTAATTTCTCCTTGTTTTCAAGCATTCTCATACCTTATGTATATTTCATTGAAGCTTATCACGTCTCTCACTACTACAAAATAGACCTCTAATAACACCAATTTTACAATGGTCATGGTGTTAATCGTGGTAATAGTTTATTTTTTGGATTTTTTTTTGTATTTACTAAAGGACATGTCACAATGGTCATATTCATATAGAACAATTATAGTGAAATGTACATGAAGTGAAATGGTTTGAATCCTAACACCAACAATTTGGCCATTTTTCGTGATAATAATGTGATTCACCTTGTATATCACTACAGTTTTCGTTTTCAACTGTGGTGAAAGATGCTACTTATTTATATATAAGCGAGATTATATCACGCTTCAATACATAACACTCGTCTCTCTTAAAACAAAATCCTAACAACTCTTTCACTCGTCTCTCTCAAAATGAAATCCTAACAATTATGTCACTCGTCTCTCTCATATAGAAACCCCAAAATCAAACCATAAAATCAAATCTTAGCCAATGGATATTTACAAGTTCGTTTTCACTATAGTTTTTTTTCAATATCTTGTTAAGGTTTGAACTTTCTCCTTGTTTTAGCTTGTAGGTAGGGATGCTTATTTCAATAAAGAGGACGAAGCTAGGTAGTGATGTTTGTTTTATTAAGAGGACAAAGCTAAAGTTAGTGTTGTAAACTTGTGTCAAAGATCCAGAATGAAATCCATTCAAGATAGACACAAGTTTGCGGCTCTAACTTTAGCTTCATCCTTATTTCATTATGGACACGCCATTAGGGGACATGTATGGTATGTTTCTGAAGCATTATATGATTTGATATGCTTGTTGTATCGTGTTTGTTGTTGATGAATTTTTTTTGATGAATGTTGTTGTTAATGTTTGTTGAAAAGATGAGTTTGTTATATATTATGTGGTTTTAGTGTTTTTCCAACCCCTTACTAAATATATAACTTTCCAAACTACATTAGAAAATTATAAAATGATAGATAAAATTGTATCAAAAAATAAGTA